GAGTAGTTGTTGGTGAGTGGAGGAAAAGGGTTGAAGGGGTGGGTGTAAAAGAAGAGGAAAGGACAAGCTTTGAGGAATTTGAAGGGAATACAGCAGCAGTGTTGCTGCTACTGCTTGAGAAAGAAGGGGAAAAAGGGTAAGCAAGCTTTGTAGAAGCTGTAGCTGTTGCAGAAGCTGCTGAAATTGAAGCCATGGCAGCTTTTTGCCTGAAAATGGGATTGAAGTTTTGGAGAAGAGGGTCGAAAGAGAATTGTGGTTGAAAAAAGGAAGAAGAGGAGAGGAAAGGAGAAGGATAATGATGTTATTTATCCTTGGTAGGAATAAAGAGGGCCTCTCATATATGTGGGGTTTTATCCAATCACTTACTTCTCAACTTGCAACTGTGGGGATTAGGGGGTATGGGATTTCTGTGAATTCTGTTCCCAAAATGTGACACGTAAGAAAATGGTCTAAATTTTTTACCCTGCCTTCTTCTTTTAACTTCACATAAAAAAATAAAAAAAAAATCTGTATGTTCCAAAGCCTTCTTTTTCTCCCTTTCAGCTTTCGGTAGTGTTTAATTTAATGATTGTACATGCCAAATCTACAACAATGGCTATATATTTGCTATAAAGATTGGTAGAAATTAACAGGGAGTGGGATGTATACAATAGAGTGCCAAGAAAAATCTGGTAACGTGTGCTTTAGAAAAAAGTTCCATATCAAATACTAGTATGTAATACTTAAGTACGAAGGATTGACTAAAAGTGCGAGAACAATAGGGTATATACAAAAGTTTAAACCGTGAGTTTACACCAATGATCTGTATCGAGGTTATAAAGAGCTTTAGGATAGGTAAAAGTAGTGTTTTAAAAGTAGCGGGGGTGCTGAGGGGGCGTTTATAAGCACATGAAAAAATATACTTTGTGAAGAAAAATCGGACAACAGTAGAATCATTCAGATAATATTACTTACTTTTTTCTAGTGAACACCAAGATAAAATTAAAGAAAACAGCAAACAGTAGAATCATTCACATAATATTACTTACTTGTTTACAGAAGTTATATATTAACTGGCATTATTTCAACCAATTAACATTTCCAATAGTTAAATACTCATGTAAATATGTACAAGTATACATGCCATGACTCATTTTTAGCAGCAACATGAACGCACAATATGCGTGTAATGAGAAACCTGTAGTACTGTAATTCCTGACCCTGAAATGATGGTAACTTTGACAGAAGTGAATCTGTATCTAACGATAGGTCCATGCTTTTCCCTCTAGCTTTTGATCTGCATGTGACCAATGTCAGCAACATTAATCTTTCAGCATTCTGGAATATCTTGAAACAGGGTAGTCGCATAATTGGTGCAATCCAAGAACTATCTGCAGTTGAGTGGCAAAAGGCCGCACAGTAACATCTTCACAGAGAAACTTCAGTCTTCAGGATCCATAGAATAGCAGCCTCATCCGCACTACAAATTATGGGAAGATATTTTGCAACCATAAATGCCACGGATCTCAGGAGGAAGCTTGCTTAGAATATCTGATATAGCCGAGTCATGTTTCTTCCTGAGATCATTTAGCTCCTTTTGCTGCTGACCTAGCAGCTCCTCGAGTTTATTGACAATTTGTCTGACATCAGCTGGGTAGTTGTTGCTGATCATGTTATTTCTTTCCTCGGATGAATTAGGCCCGCTTGCATAACTAAAATCCGCAGAATGATCATTATCATCAAGGTAAGAATCATGTAGAACACCGGCCTCATCATCCATGTAAGTCTCCGTTTCATAATCTTCGAGTAAGGCAGCAGCAAAATGTGAACTACCTCCGTCTCTCAGGACAACAGGTGATTGTTCATTTTCTTCGGTCCAGCTACCTTCACGAATTGGTGAATCGGTCTGTGACATGTTTGAAGGCCCCTGTCTGAGCGGAGAGCTTGCACTACTGGCTGTTTTCGGTGAATCAGACCAGTACTTCCGACCTGAAGGAAGTCTTTCCAACACAAGACTGCCCGAATGAGCAGAATCAATAGTTAAGGGGGGAACATCATCTCGGGCTCCAGAAGTACAGCTATCGGGAGCAACTTCATCAGTTATGTCATTGTTAGAGCATTCTCTCGGTGCCCAATCTGGGATATATGACCGAATTTCAGAATCAATCATTGCTGCTATTGCTGAAACATCCTGATCTGTCAGGTCCAGCTCTTCGACCATTTCACTAGCAACGGCATTTGCCGTATCAACTTGAATATCAAAGGGGAAGTGAATGTTCCTAATATGACCTGATACCACAGTTCAACTGTTATACAACCTAATTAAGGGAAGCATCTTAAGCTTGATAAAGAAACAATGAGCATGAGCAAATGGTAACCTGTTGAATCAGTTATTCGCAGTTTAAGAAATATTGTATTTAGGTCCTTCCTTTGGCCCTGCACCGTGAAATCTCTACCTCCCTCAGGTAATGGGTCCTTAGTACTTTTTCCATTATCAGACTGATCATCCCTCATTTCTGTAAAAATCTCACAGAAGTCAATAATATTAGCGGACATTTCAGGAAGTGTGCGATCCGATAATTACCTGCATGTCTGGAATTGGAGCTCAAAGATCGACCTACGTTTCCAGAATCCTCATCTGAAAGGAGAAAGGGGTCCATCAATAGTTCTNCAGTTTCATCTTGCCCTGGCACAAAGTTAAAACAGGAGTTTAAATTAAACAGTACTTCAAATAATACTACGCCCCAGAATTAGAGATATAGGTTTGATAGTGATAAGCTTGAGATTTGACAAGGATCAAAGTGGATCTCATATTACTTTGATATAGTATAGTCCTCAATATGCAATAGGTACTCAGAAGGAAAGCCATTTCCCTTTATTAAAGCAAGTGACAACATTTAGTCATGATGCAAAAAGAACACAATCCTTTTGGGATGGAGGTAACTAGTGTGCTAAGTGCTAAGCACTTTTGAGGACCCCATGTTTGCCCGGAGGAGAAGACAACTGTACGTTACAAAAACCTAGCCATTTGATATGCTTCTTTTCTTTTCTTGTAAATTATTCTCCATCACTAGTATCCTTTAAATCCGAGCACAGATGTTGGAAGTTATTTTAACACCTTCAACACTAAAGAGCTCCTTTCCCTGTCACAGTAAAATCCTTACTACTCCCTCATAATCTTACTTGAGCATCTATGTTGCTATTCGTTCAGCCAAACCACTACTCTCATTACCACTTAACATACTGTGTATTATTGCAACTCATTTTAACACCTTCAACACCATGTCAGTTGCTGGATCCAGATCAAGATCTCCATTATATTGTTGGAGAAATTGATCCAGAAAAATTTAATCCAGAAAATTATCTTTCAGTTTAAGTTGTCTGTTCTGCTTCAACCTAAAGTGATGCTAGGCTGCTTCATAGAGGTTCGCTTGACCACATCATGAGCATATTTAAGTTAAGTGCAAGTCAAGCAATTAAGCCCCCATTTCTTTAACTATGAGTCATTCATATCTATTCCTTGTCAATGACACATAATTCCGATAAATGAAACAAACAATAGGCACCACGTACTTAATAACTAACAATGGATTTTTACACTAGTACACAGTATTAATTGAACTCAATAATCTTATTCATCTTCACTAAAATAACCTAACAATACAATGATTTATGTGATACATCAAGATACATACCACATTATTCAGAACAGAAGACCGGATTAGCTAATAGATACTGTTGAGTTAGCACTCATAGGAGAAAAAGATAACTCACTTATTAAACATGGAGAGAGAAAGAGAGAGTATGACAATGATTTCAGTTGGAGTAAGGTCTAAATGAAGTGGTTGATATTGCTAGCTGGAGCAATGCTAAAGAATAAAATTGACATCCAGATAGAAATTCCCAAGGTGAGGGTGGTATTTGGAGGTAAACTGATAACCAGGAAGTACTGAAAGTCCTTTTGAAAATTGTCCCCTGTGAAAAGGATCTTTACTTGAGCCGGGGGTCTATCGGAAACAACCTCTCTACCTTCAAGGTAGTAAGATCTGCGTGCACTACCCTCCCCAGAACCCACTTGTGGGATTATACTGGGTTTGGAGTTGTTGTTGTTGTCCCAGTTGAAAAGGAGGGGGCAGTGCTTCTTATTCAATGTTGACAAAACACTATTGACATATAAACCAAGTTGGGGATTGGCATTTATGTAATCTTCTGAATTTATATTGCTGAAATGGAATGTATTCCATCTAGGATAGAATCGTCCACTTATGCAAGCAGGTCATGACAATGTTGTTTAGGTAGTTTGCTAGATCAAACGAATATCAAAAAACAAACAAATGTAGGCAATTGGGCATCCAATAGGCCCCATAGCTTCAAGATATTAGCTATTAATAACACAGGTAGTTATTCAAGGAACGAATAAGTGCACAGGAGCCCTTTTGAGATAGAGCTTAATGAAATTATCTAAAATGAACTGCCAATCCAACATTTTCAGTAGGCTCATTTGAATAAGAAAATTTAAGACCAAAAGAATATTTTTCATCATCAAAAGCAGGTAGGAGTTGAACTAATGTGGATACAAGACTAAGAAATTAAAACCTGAAGTTCCTTCAATCAGCAGCTGATTCTGATTATGCATAGCCAAACTGCTTTTAAGTGGTCAACAAAATATCATTCCTATGGTAAAACCACCATTAGCTACTGAGCCCACCAAGTCAAGGACATTCATTCGACAGAGGGCTACTATCTTTCCTAAAAAGATCATGTTTGTTCACTACCTTTGCAAATTGAACATCCTGCTTTACAAAGAATGGTTATTGAAGTGAGATCGAACACCCTTTTTAACAAAAGAAAAGGTATCGGACTAAACTTACTTTTACATTCAAGGAGAGAGAGAGAGAGAGAATTTAGTTTTAAGAACTCTGGTACGGGGTATACCCTATCAATTCTTATTGTATTCAAAGACTCAAGAAAAATGAATACTAAGAACTCCAAGCACAAAAATGTTTATCTTTGACAAACTAAAATAGAAACAAGCGGAATCATTATGGTACAAATGGAGTATTCCTTTTTCTTTTGCGAACAGTAGATTCTTAGGTTGGTGAAATAAAGAGGAAAAAATGCTTCATGCAGTTTTCTTCCGAGAAACAGCTTCCAATTGCAGCATAATTGGTCCCTAAGAAATGCCTGTCAATATGCAGAAAATAGTAATGAATTCTCATTCTTTCCAATTCCAATGGGTAATATTATATCTGAGTCTTTTTGCACAACTTGCGGATTTGCCCTCTTCGTTTAAAGCTATAAGCATCCTTTGGAGATCTTCCAAGGAAGCCAATTCCAAGTAGATCCTCCCTTTCCCTCGCTCCACTTTGTTTCGCTCGACCTTGGAGTAGTGCCACTATCATCAGGTCGATGAACTTGATACTGCCATAAAACCACGAGTCCACGACAACGCACAGAAACCTGACTTCTTTGTATTTGTTCTGATAACCGGGTTAGTGTATTAAAATGTCTAAATGTAAACGCAGCATAAGTGTTTATTTTACTAATTTGCTATTATAATAATGCGCCTCTAAAGACACAGACTTAAGCCGGAGTTTCCATCCTCCCCACCCAAAGGGAAAAGGAGAAAGAGACAAAGGTCATCAACCCCCAGGAATGAACAACTTTTTTTTCTTTGATGACCGAGAAATCGGTCTGCATCGAAACTCAAGGATTCTGGGCCCGCCCTCTATCCTGCTCACTTGAATACCATGCTTAGTTCGCATGGCGCAGGGCTCGAACCCGTGACCTTAGTCACAAGTCCCTCAACCTTTGCCACTTGAACTAAGCCCTAGGGCCCAGAAAAGAACATACTTCGAAGCAATTGTGTGACTACCAACAGATAATTACCTAGAGCTTAGTAAACGAACAATCATGTAAAACTATAAATGTCATAGTTCCTTAAGAGGGGCACTAATTATAACTCTCAATTAGAAAAGTTTCCATTACTTTTGCTGCTTACAACCTTGTTCCCAAGAAAATGATATCTCTATCAACAATCATGAACCCTGTTAGTGTATAGATATGTATAGTGTAGTCTTGTCCCACATTGGAAGAAGAATAATATCTCCTTGTAGTGTATAGCTATAAATAGGGACCTCTTGTATTGTATTTATCATCCAATATCAATAACATATTTTCTCCCGTGCCTTCTCACATGGTATCAGAGCATTAGTGAGAAAAGATCGTTGTGCGTCATTCCAGCGTTAACCGGGAAGAAAGAACTTAGTCATCATGTAATTTTTCCGGTGACCTAAGGCTTGTCTAAGTGAAAGTCACTTTCTGTCGGTGTTGTGCTAAAACCAACACCACCACGAGGTAGATCACCCTCCGACTACCAACCCCTGAAATTTTATCCGGCAGAAAAGCCGCCACGCTCCTCCACGCGCCGGCAACAACTTTTCCGGCGAGGGTTCCGACCACTTTTCGACCATTTTTTCGCGAAGCTTCTTCAGGACAGTGTGCTCTCCTCAAAATTCCGAGCCTACCCATCTAATTCAAATCAAATTGCGGCCACTTTTATATTTTTCCGGANCTTGTCTAAGTGAAAGTCACTTTCTGTCGGTGTTGTGCTAAAACCAACACCACCACGAGGTAGACCACCCTCCGACTACCTACCCCTGAAATTTTATCCGGCAGTAAAGCCGC